CATGGTGCTACCATGCTTGTGATAGAGCAAGGGGAAATGGCTTCAACTTGCACAAGGAGAGGTTTAGATTGGATATTAGGAAAAACTTCTTCACCGAAAGGGTAGTCAAGCACTGGAACAGGCTGCCCAGGGAGATGGTGGAGTCGCCTTCCCTGGTGGTATTTAAAAGATGGGTAGGTGAGGTGCTTAGTGTCCTGGTTTTGCTAGGATAGAGTTAATTTTCCTCGTAGTAGATGGAAGAGCTGTGTTTAAGTTTCAGTGTAGAACTTGTTATGAGAAGAATGTTGATAAAGTACTAATGTTATGAGTTGCTGCTGGAGCTCAAGGCCACCATGTTTGGCTGGGGCACAGCTGCATTTGGACTGGGGGGGAGAAGCACAGTGAATAGCAAAACCCAGACCTGGCATTTGGATGTGCCAATGAAATATTCCAGATCATATCACGTCATGTCAGTACATTAACCAGGGCTGACTGGAAGATGGGGATATTCTCTCGGGGATCGCTCGAGCTCTCACTCTTACAGGATTTTGGTTTCAGGACTGTCTCAGCTCCACGGTCACTGGCTGGCACAGGCTGGGCATTGGTCAGTGGGTGGTGAGCAATTGCACTGTGCATCACTCAGTTGTATATTCTGTTATTGCTGTTGTATCATTATCATTTTATTTCAATTACTAAATAGTTTTTATCTCAACCCATGAGTTTCCTTGCCCTTTTCCTTCCAATTCTCTCCCCTACTCCCTGGGCAAGGGGGGGTGGAGGGTGATAGAGCAGGCTGTGTTGGCTGCAAGGTGCAAGCCAAAAGGGTGAATCCACCCAAACCACCACACTTGGAGACATGGTTTAGAGGTGGAATTGGTAGTGTTGGGTTTATGGTTGGACTCGATGATCTTAAAGGTCTTTTCCAACCACTACGATTCTATGACTCTACCTTGCTAGGCAGCATGAAGAGAGTCTGTCTTGCCAGCTGAAAGGACCTATGCTTTCTGTCAGATCTGGGGCTCAGAAGGTGATCAAAAGCCTTTACAGGGAGGGAAGAGGTGTTCTGCGTGTTTTGTTGTGAAGCACGTTGCCAGAAAGATGACTAACTGAGCTACCTGACAACTTTTAGGAAATATTAAATGAGTTCATATGTGATTGTGTTTCTGTGAAGTTGCATTTTTAGGGCACAGGTGTTTTGCTTCCACCCATACTGTCAAGCAATAAAAATTAGGATGATCAAAAAGTTATATTAAATAAAACCCAAACAAACAAAACAAACAACCACCTCAAGCTTTATTTTATTTTATTTTTTATAGCCTATGTGATATCCCATTCTCTGTGTTTTGGTTTCTGAGCCTTTAAGGTATAATGAGGTCATACTTTCTAGTTTTCTCAATGTAGTCCCCAAACTACAAAAATCCTATTGACTTAAAGGGGAATTGATATTTCTTCCTTAAGCTTTTTTTGGAGTAGTGGGGTTTGAGGTTCTCAAGTGATCCACTGATTCTAGATATGGAGGCTAAATGAAATAATGACTATCATAGATGTGGGCAGCACTGTTTTGTAAGCCTACATTCGCCTGTCTTTCCTTGTAGACTGTTGTTAGCATGTAGATAAGTGTACTCTGTGACCACCAATATAAGATCAGTATTACGTGTTGTGTTGTTTGGAGGTTTGGTTTGTTTTTGTTGTTGTTGTTGTTTTTTTTTTTTTGTTTTTTGTTTTTTGTTTTTTTCCCAGAAGATCCCTAAATAGAGTACTCGAGTTAGTGATAAGGTCTTTAGAAGTACTCGGTGTCTCTTCAAAAAGGCTATGTAAATCCCATTTTTACCACTTAAAATTAAATTGACATGTGGTTAGTGTTTGAAGGTATGAATTAGGTATCCACTATTACATGTGGTAATAGTAAGTAATTCCTGATTTTACATGGGTTTGTGATAATTGTAAATTATTGTAAACCATGCTTTGACTTGAGTAAGATTTTAAATTATGCTGGTACTGAAAAGAAGCTTAATAAATTCACTCCCTTACATGCATGAACACAATTTGGTATGTTGTACAGACTGACAGTATCAGGTGTAAAAATGCTTAGAAGAGAAGTAAATGTGATTGTTATTCATTTAGGACTCACATGAGATGAATTTGCTCTATCTGCTGTATTACTGTAATTATATACTGTATTAGTATATTGACAACATACTGCATCTTACTCACAATTACATATCATTTTCTTCCATTTTCAAGCAGTTGATTCACCTGTAAATTCATAAACTAATGCAAGAGATTTCCCCAGAATAACCACAATGGTTCTGCTTCCTTTTAGCAAATGCATTATACAATTATAGAGGACTTTAAAGCTGTGAACGTGGAACTTGCACTGACTTCCACCAGAGAACCAGACCCAAATCTTTGCAGAATCAACCTCTTCTCTACTCACTAGGCTAGATCATTTGGCTCCACTTACTCATTTTAAACTCTTTGACATCTATATCCTACTATTAATATATTTTTGCAATAGATGTTAAAAAAAGAAAATGCGGTGAATGGTATTGACCAAAAAATACTCCAAACCCTATATGAAAATAATTGCTGGATTCTGATATCTTCTTTAAAATAGTCCTTAGTGTCCTTTTCTCTCAACTGAATGTCCTTTTCTGATTTTGAACACTGGAGCACTTACTCAGGGAGGCCTGTAGGTTGATGTACCAGAAGATACTTGTTGTTGTGGTATCCCGTTCTTCACCTGACAGTCTTCCCTCAGGCTTTGCATCCTTATTAAGAGAGCTGGTCATGCAGTTTGCAGCCTCACTGGTAGTGGTGACCTGGGGTTGTGGTGTTGACTGGGGGGGGAAGGATCTTCTCATGGTGTTTGTACTACTGCAGTGCTCCATCATGCTCTGCACGTTTGTGGAGTCTCTCCGCCCAAGCAAACTTCTTTTCACAACTGGAGATTAATCACCTACTGGGCTTGTAGATTAATTTTATTAACAGGCACATACTGGATCATAACTTAAGGCTCATAGCTTGATCTCCTGCTTCTCCTGTTCTCTTCTGACAAGTGGAAGTATAAATAGTAAATGAGGTGAAAATGGGATTAAAAAATGAAAATAATGCTATGAAATATGAAAACCATGTTGTTTAAATGAGAGAGTAGTTGGAGAAGACATTTTACCAAATTGCTTTTTCAATCTTTTTTTTTCTCTCTTGTTTTTTGTTACATTTTTTTCCTCTGGATGTGATTTATTGTGTTCAGTGTATAGTTTATTTAGATGCTCAGCAGATAGTTTACAACTATAAATTTTACAATGATGGTACAATTCCAGAGGCTTTGTTTGTGTGTTAGGATGTAAAACTAGATAATAACATTCCTCAGCTGGTCCTGTCAAGGTGGAATATTTGAGGGAATGAATCTTCTTTTCTGGCTGTGCAGGCACAGAGCTCATAAATGGGAGAAAAGGCAAAAGAACCCACATAGCAATCCATTAATGGGCTTTGTAGCCTTTTTGTTTATGAGCAAATGTCACTAATGACCCATTAGGCTAGAAAACTGTGCAGAGAGCCATGCTCGTCTGGGCTTGCCAACAAGAAAGCTAGTAGGGCATCCAAAGAGTCTGCTGACTTCCATCTGTTGGCCCTGGTATCTGTTAGCTCTAGTACCTATGGATGATGGACAAAAGTTTGTCTAATCCTCAAAACCTGTAGAAATCGGGCTGGTATGTTTTGTTGGCTTGTCACAAAAATGCAAATTGTGAGCAGAAGTGGGAGTCCCTCAGATTCATACAGAAAGTGAGGCAGGAGGGCTACTGTCTCTTAGTATTGTCTTTCTAACAGTTCGTTAGAAATGTTTCCTGCACATCTGACAATGAATTGTAGTGGACTGTAATGATGACATTAATATATGCTGTATTTTGATTTGAAATCTATTGCTAATTAGTTAAGTGCAAATCTGAATGTTATAACAAGATGGTGACTGATTTACATATCTGGTTTAATTTTCCATTCTGAGATAAGATGATGTTGCATCATCATGCTTGTAGACATGAGCATCTCCTACCTGGGCTGCTGGTAGGAGCTCAGCACAGAGTGCAAGGTTGGTGTTCTCTGATAGAAACCTCACGGTGTGACACAGCATATTACTGCTTTTATAAAGCAGCTTGTGTATCAGCAGTGCCTCAACTGGGTGACAGCAGCGTGTGAATCCCAGCTCAGTTCTCCAAGCCGCTCATCACCCTATTGACATCAGTGGGGCTTAAAGCATTATGGGTCTGGGTCTGGGAGTGGTGCAGGCTGGAGTGTTATTTATTGACAAGCTGCAAGACATTGGCAGTGACCAGCTCGATGACATGAGATGCTTCTTAAAATTTGCTTTTTGTGCAAGGTGAGAAGATGGAACAGCATCATCCCAGCTTGTGCACCTCAAAATATTGAGCTTTTAACCAGTGGGGTTTGGCTTTAATAAATAAATAAATATCTGGGTGGGTGTAAATCAGTGAATTAATTGAGACTCTATGATTGTTTGGAGTATTTTCCCCATGTAATAGTGATGAGATAATATTTTGCTTAAGCAAAAAACCATCAGTCCCTCAGATTACTGGTTTTGTTTATTAAGAGTGAGAAAACTCTTGGGTTTGGTTTTTAAGATTTCTATCAGTATTTCCTTAATTTCAAAGGTGGATGTAAACAAAGCGGCACAGCTACTGAAGGAAGCAAATTAACATACAGTATGTTAATTTGTTTTTCCTGCCCTTCAGTCACAGTGAGGAGAGTTTAAATATTTCAGTGACTGAGACTTTGGATTCCCACTCCTTGCTAAACAACAACAACAAAAGCTCTTTATAGCAATAACAGTTAGCAGCTATACAGCAGCCTCAGACAGCTATAGGCAGCATCTCGCCATGACCACAAATGTTAACTGCTTTTGCACTGAATGCCTCTGTGAAAACAAAGAGCACTGAGAAATAAAGATCAAAGCAAAACCCAAAGAAAGATTTTTTTATTGCTATGTTTTACTTTGCTGGCAGACCAGAGCAAAGGTTTTCTGAACATTTAAAAGATGAAAAAGGTGAAGAATCCCAGAAGCGATTTATCTTGAAGCGAGATAACTCTAGTATTGATAAAGAAGACAATCAGGTTGGTTCTCGGTTCGAGAGTTGCTGAAATTTGTTCTGTTTTTGAAGGTGGGCTGACTGATGTTATTGTTGTTCTTTTGTTGTTGCTCTCCTCCTTCTCCTCCCCTACCCTCCTACCCTCCTCCCCGCCTCCTCCGGTGTCCGTACCACCGTGGCTAGCATCGAGCCCCGGCGTGGCCGCTTCAGCCGTGGCAGTGTGTGGGGTTTGCATGGGTGGTTTGCTTGGCGCAGGATTTGCTGCATGCCCACGGGAAGGGGGGAATGCCAGCGGCTCCGGGCTGCGTGGAAGGCTGTGTCAGTCGCATTTCTCAGTGTCTCGCCTAACTATGGCAGTTGTTCCGCTCCCTGCAGCTTTCTTCCTTCTGTTGTACCCATTCAGAGTTGGATTTCAGTATGGACTGTTGATAAACTGATGTAGCCCAAAAAGCAAAGAGGAAAAAAAGTGTGTGTGTGTATATATATATATCTATATATATTTAAAAAAAAAATGCCCCAAACAAACATGGGATGGTGAGGCCAGGCTGATTTTTTTTTTTTTTTTAAAACCATCCTAAATTAAGTTTTGACCAGAAATAAATCAGTTTCATCTTTTAATTCCCTCCCGCCTCCTGTGCCCTCACCACCTTTTACTGTCTGTGTAACTTACTTGCTTGTCGTGCATGTCCTGTGGCAGACGTTCCCCCCCTCTGTGTTGCCTGTGCCGTAACACTTCAGGTGAGCCCGATGAGTAGGGGAGCGGCAGGGAAATGTGTGTGTTTGTGCTGCCTTTAAAAGCGGGTGTTGTGCTGTTTCAATCCAGTGCAAGTTGTGTATGTGGAACTTATTAACAAAAAAAACAAAAAACAAAATCAAAAAAGGTGCTGATGTGAATTGCTCGTATGAGAAAATTCTCACAGGTAAGAAGACAGTGTATGCTTTCTTTGCTTAGGTTATATTTGTGGAGGGACCTATCAGTGAGTCTCTCATCACCCCTGTCCTTCATGTTTTCAGTAAAAGACTGATTTTTCCTTTCCTTTCTTTTTTTTTTTCTTCCCCTTTTTTCTTTGACTTTCAATTGTACATAGCAGCCTTGCCAGATATGCTGCATCTGCTTTAGCTTCAAATGCAAAATCCAAGCATTTTCAGGGTGTGATGGACATGGGGATCAGCCAAAGGAAAGCAGCATGACCTGTCTCACCAGGTGCTGGGGTACAGGGGGAGAAGGAGCAGTGCTTGAAACCCAGTTGCTAATGAAGCATTTCTTGCTGGGGTTCTTCTCCTCTCCTCCTTCCCACAGCACAACCATTTCCTACACTCTGGTTTACTGAGAGGCACAAACCTCCATTCTTTGCCCAGCGAAACAGAAGTCAAGGGTTCCTTTATGGTGTGGAAATGGTTAAAAGTGTTGTACCGAATATTTGGAACTTCTCCTCCTCATACACACAGACTCTGGTGGGTTTCTTCTAGGGTTTGCAGCTTAGCTCTTACTGCCTAGTTTCCCTCTTTTCTTCCTCGATTTCGTAGGTAGTGCAGCTCTGCCTGCCCTCCCGCTCGTCACAGCTGATAGGAGAGTTGAGAAATCCTAGCAGTTGAGAGCAATGACACTTAGGCTTGGAGTGAGAACACCCATTTTTAGGATGGCAGGTCCACAAAAAGCCCTGCAGAAAGCCACGTTTTGGCCACTTGCTCTACAAACCCCCATGCAGTATCTACCTGGAAACCCTCAGGTGCCCAGCCTCGCAGGGCTCTTGGTGCAGGAACGACAGCTATCATTTTCATGCTTCATTTGTTTAAGTGAACATTTATTATTCTCAGCTGACAGTTACTTAATGGCAGTTTTTAACAGCTCAACTTATATAACCCTCCTGGTTTTCTTTCTGCTCAGCAAAACAGAATTCTTCCATTTAGAGATGACAGACGAAGTAAATCAATTGAAGAGAGAGAAGAGGAGTATCAGAGAGTGAGGGAGAGAATATTTGCACAAGATGTGAGTAGTTGTTTTAATTGCCTCTTTAGTGCCATACCTTTGCCGGTAGTCAGACAGTCTTGTCCCCCTCCAACACCAACACCGCAACTGGACTTGCCCTGGAGGAGCAAGTGGAGCTGGAGGTGACAGGGAAGGGTGATTGGCGCAAAGGGTCCGAGAGGATCTCGAGAGGTGCGGAGGTTAGTTTCTAGAGAAGGAGGTGATGAGAGTGGCAGGGAGAAGGGTAGAGGAGAGATCAGGCCCAGCATGTTGTCTGCCGAGTGCTTATCCCATTTCTTTGAATGTTCGTGTTCATGTGGTCTAGGTTTCCTCCTTTTTTCCTTCTCTTTTGCCAGCCGTTTTTTTGGTGATTTAAATGGACACTCTCAATAATTTCAGATAGCTGTGTTCTTTCATATTTATTTTGAGCTAGGGCAAATCTTGTAAGTGTCCTCCTGCAGAACCTCCTCATGGCTTTGTTTCTTTGTACCAGCCCTGAACCACAGTCCAAACAAAAGCCAGAGGTTAAACATAGAGCTGTGTGGCTTTTTTGAAATGACAGATTAAGGCACCATATTTCTGCCACCAGAAGGAGTTGGTCACTTTGTTGACGATTTTATTCTGAAAGGAATAAAATGAAATAGACATTATAATTCCTGACTTTACCAAAACATCAGAACTTGGACAATATAAAATGACTATGAGCAATACCTCATGTTCCTAAAAAAGAAAGAAAAAAAAATTTGCTATAATACTGTAATAATGAGGTCCTAAAAGGAAAAAAAGAAAAAAAAGTCAACATTTTATTATTTTATCTCACATCTCAGTGGGAGCTCTGTCACTTAGAGGAATATGGGAATAAACCCAATTAAAATTATTACTGAAAATCATATTTGGCAGTGTCCTTTTAAATTAAAACTGTTCATATGTTGCAGGGCTAATAGAATTATTTTGGATATCCTTTTATTTTGCTCTGGTTTTGGAGTTGCACACATCCAAGTTATTTTTCTTTAGCAGAAAACATGGTATAGTTTTGAGGTCTGTGTTGTCTCATTTGCGATAAGTAATTTTGCTTGTTAATAAGTAGCTTGCCACATCTAAATATTTTTAGCTTGCTGTTTTCTTTCTTGACTGAGACAATTCCAGTAAAAGCAGATGCCCTGTGGTTTAGGTTTTGCTTTCAGCATGTGGGTCTGATGTCACAGGGTAGAGTTACCGAGGCATTCGAGGGCTGCAAAAGCCTCTTTGCAACATGTCTTCTATATGAAGGTTGCTGTTTCTGGCTTATTACAAAGGGCTTGTACAAAGCAAACAAACAATCAGAAAATCTCCGTGTTTTGAAGCAGATTTGAAATGAGGCAACATGTTGTTTAAAAATATCACGTGGAAAGTTGTTGCCAAAATAATGCAGTTTCTATCGCAGGCAGCAGCTAGAAGTGCTAGGCTGGGAAAAGGAGGTGGCTGGAAAAATGCTGAAACTCGCTCCACAATGTGCTGCTGTTTTTATCTTTAGATGCTTGAGTTTCAAAGACAGGCAAGCGGGGAGCATTTTAATTGCTCGCAGCAGGAGGTTGTTGTGGTCCGTTGGGTTAGCATCTCCGAGAGGCAAGGCCTGAGCAACAGCGTGGTTTGTGCAGGCATCTGAAATGGATTGGGAGTGAGTGTTTGTAAAGTTCAGCAAAGTTAACGTTAGATGTCTCTCCCTCTCTCTCTCATATCCACTCGTTGGCTCTCTCTCCCTGCTGTTGCAGGTGTTGGTGAGCGTTGTGGTGCAGTGACTTTTGGCAAGCTGTACTAATAATATTAACAGGAATATATGTCTTAGCTGAGCTTTTTTCAGTGGAGCACTCCTCACAGATAATGAGGTGGTTTTGGGATGATGTCAGTCGTTGTGGTGGTAGACAATGTCACTTTTTTATTTTTTTTTTTTTTTAATTTTAGGAAAGAGAGCAACAGCTTCCAATTATAGGTAGCCACTTACTGCATGTGAGACTTTATAGTTTTAAAACCCTCTGCAATCATTAATTAATCCAATTCTCCCCAGGTTTCTCTCAGGTAGGTACCTAAGCCTTGTCATCCTGCAAATTCTAGACATAGCAAGAGAGACAAGGAGGGATTAGTCATGTGGTATATTTATTATCTTTATACTGTTTACACTGCTGTAGTCAAGCCTTTATCATTGCCTTGCTTATGAACCTTAAAAAGTGGATTATAGATACTTCACTTCTAATTAGAGTATGCATGGAGGGAACTTGCATGCGAGGTCTCCGAAGGGGCAACCATGAAGGTCAAGAGTACTGCTGTAACTTGTTGCACCTAGCACCCCCTCCCTAAACATATTTGAGGTACCCAAAGCGTTTTGGATAACATATCAGCCCAAGAGTCAGAACTCTGAACAAAATTTAGGAGGAAGATATGGTATAGTTACAAGGGCAAAAAATTCTGTGCATGTTCAAGTGCTGTGAAAAATGTCTTAACCTAGACCCCACATACCAGCCAACAGAAGGCTTGCTTGCCTTTCCTTTGATTTTGCAGCACTGTAGTGCACCAGATATCTTCATTTCCAAGTGGGAAGGTTTTAACAAAATAAATATGTTCATGAATAATGCCATCATCATGATAGTCCTTATGATGATTAGTCTGATATTAGTCAGTTTAAATGATACTTTCTGGCAAGTTTTCCATCTGCTGTGTTGGCTATCATAAATTTTGACAAGGGGAGCTGGAAGGTTTTAATGACTCATGTCATGTGTAGAGTCATAGCAAATGGCAGGGATTGAGAAGCATGTTAATGTGGTATCTTAATAAAAGGATTGGCGAAGAAATAAATAGTTATTAAATGTGATCCTTCCAGCTCACTGAAATAAGTACAAAGTGTACCTCAAACTTTTCAGGCTACTAACAGTAAAACAGTGCTGCGTGAGCTCTGTTATACTCAAAGCTATTTGCAAGGTTATTTTTAAATGACAAAGCCTACAACCTTCCTTTTTAAAACATATTTTTATTGGAAACTTAATTTTACAACAATTTGTGAATTTTACAACCACAAGTGCACTGGAGCAGAGGACCTGGAGTATCTGGGTCTTGCAAAGAAGTTGTTTCTTGTCTAAACTGCTTTAGTTGCTTTTAGTAGGTTGAAAAATAATTGTCCAAGAATGACAAAGAACAGTCTAAAGTAATAAAAAAGAGTATATGTTGTTCTTCCCCTGTGTGTTAATTCCAATTGTAGATTTAACTGAGAATCCCAAATGCGTGCATAAATGGTACACTACGTTTGGCTTTTAAGCATGCAGAAAATTGATTCTAAAGGCTAGCAATCAAATTACATAGGGGAAATTTCATTCTTCGAGGTTAATGCAATGTATAACCTCATGAGCCAGAATCACATAAGGACCATCCATTGTTCATAAATATATTCTCTAGTAATCAGTGTGTATTCATTGAAAAATGTAGATGTTTTATTACTTACAGAAATGCTAGAATTGCCCATGGTACACATGGAGCTTATTAAAGGAAAGACAACATACTTTTTAATTTTTGTTGTCAGTTGTAATGACTATTTTTGACTAAGGAGTGTATTTTGAAGGGCCAGATCCTTACGCTAAAATAAATCATGATTCCTCTACTTAAGAAAACACTGAGGATCTTTCTCGCTCTCTGATTAAAAGACAGTCACAAGAGAAATATTTGAAAAGGCATCTTCAGTCTGTCCTGTCCTCCTAATAGGAAAAGATTAGGAAGAGAAGGGTTTAAAATTCATAAAAACAAAAGAAAGGCACACCTTGTTTGGCTACCATAAACCCATAGATACTAAACCTCCTGTACTGCTGTACAGAGCCTTTGTTTGTGGCTGCAGATCAAGCAATAAGCTTTAGTTGGAAGCCTGAGATCTATCATGTCTTGTTAACTGATGTGAAAATTATTACCTGATGGTATCCACTGCAGGATATTGCTGCCTGTTAATAGTTATCTATGTTGGCTAATGTAATTAAAAACAAGAGCAGCAGCCCTCAGTATACCTAGTGCACTGACAGAGCTGATGCATGCTTTCCAGTTGAGACTTTAAAAGGTTCTGGGAAATTGGAAGAGTGACATACTCATTTCATAAATGACAATTAGTCATACAGAGCACCCTAATGGAAATCTTGCCTGCAGAGGTCTCCGAGGAGGTGAATTTGTAGGTAATCTGGCATAACTTTTTTCCTTTTGTAGGTTTGTTGTCAGTGTCTTTGAGTATACAAGAGCCAAGTGTTTTAAGAACGTTTTTGACAACAGCTGTGCTGTATACTTAAGCTTTCCTGGTGCTTTAAATTGAGCATTATTGATGCTATAGATCAGGAAAGTGAGTTCTGACCTTGTAGCAGCTAAATTGCTATCCAGAGCTGCTTAGCCATCTGATTTTTGACAGTAAGAATAACATAATAAAAAAAATACCTGTCTTCTCTGCCTCTCAGCCTCCCACCTGTACTAAAAAATAGTTTCTGGGGATTGTGTGGCCCTGTGCCAGCATCATTAGCCAGAAAGAAAAATGGAGTTATTACAGACTCTGTTTTTAAGTCTGTAATGCTGTTGATAGTGGTTCCCATCAAGACACTGAAGAGAGAGCAGACCTCTCCACTGGCTATCAATCCCAGACATTTATTCTGCTTTATGCCCCAGTCTTTTTAAAAACTTTAAGAAATAAAGTAAAATTAAAAAAAAAAGACTCAGACAGGTACATGACCCTTTGCTTTCATAACTTTGTGGGGACACAGACCAGTACTCTGGTCTAAGCAATGATTTTTATTCACTTGTCCTGAAAAAGAAGCTATAATGCTGCTTTGGAAATGCACAAATGCCTATCATGAACCTCAAAGTAAAGACACAGCCCCACAGTTGAGGTGGTACAAACCCACGGGGTGATTTCACTATGTAGGTAGTTAGACTATGCTGAAGTCTGCACAGCCACATTTGTTACTGAAACCTTGTGAGTAAGGGACATAAAATGAGAGAAGACGCAGGGTCGTAGTTGTACCAAGGATCCCAGTGGTTTTAGGTGGAACAGTTTGTGTCTCCTCTCAACCTGGGGTGAAACCCTAGGTCTGCTGTAACTGGGAATTTGGTCCCTGGCAATGGAGAACTTGCTCCTGATATCCCGAGGCTTTGTGCTGAGGGGAGACACTTGCCACCGATGCAGCCCAGAGCCTTGCGTGTTTAGTTGGAATGCAGGGTGGGAGCTCACCCGGGAAGCCCACAGAGATCTCAGATGTTCCCTGATGTGGATGCTGGGTGGTCGAAGTACAGCTTTAACAAGGAACCACACTGCCTTCTCAGGGCTAAATTCCTTCCTTGTGTAAATTGATGGGATGGCACTGTCTGCAGTGCCAAGGGAAAACTTTACCTGTGCATCTGCTGGAGCACTGGGAAAGAGCAGGGTTTTGCTTCTGGTGTTGGTCAGGGCTCTTTGAGTAGGTCATTAGCTCACCCTTTTCAAAACAGAAACGTCCCAAATCTGTGCATATCCCATACAATTAAAATTTGACACAGCTAATGATGGCATTGCATTATTCTTTGAGCTGAGTCCCATTGTTTCAGAAGTAATGGGCACGATCTCTGGTGCCCTCCTCCCTTTGCCTGCCTTTTGTTTAAATTCAGTGCGAGTACTGGCTGTCCTTTCTTCTACCTCTTGGAGGTATAATCCAGTGACATCTACGAGGCACTTTGTGTAGTGAACATGAAATAGGAGGGAAATGAAGAAATCAAAGAGGGAGAATTATTCATGGGAAATTGAGCACAGCTTCATTTCTCTGCATAAAAAATTAAGTAACACTAAAAGAATTATACACTTGCCGACACGATTGATTTCTTCCGAGCCCTTCACCTTTCTCGGGATCTAAGTCCTCCAGCAGAGAACATTTTTGCAATAGACTATTATTGTTGTTAATATTATTACTAAGATGATTATCATCATTTTATATCTTAATGTGGGTATGACTGTTTCCTCTCCAACTGTAAAATGTGAAATCACATAATATTTCTAAGTACTACAATATCTTCTCTCCCTTTGAAGAACTTTGTCACTTCTGCATGCTTTCCTCCTGTTTGTCCTTCCTACCTGCAGCTCTGTGCTATTCTGCAATCTTATTTTGAGGTGGTAGGGCAGACCAGTGGAACCTTATATTATGTAGGAAAAATGGTTTTCCCCTTCGAATTGCCAGTATTTGGCACATACTGCCTTCTTCTGATCTCAGGACTGAGAAGTTTCAGTTTGTTCCCAAACTGAGACCCCTCACTGGCAACGTGTTGTAATGCATGGAATTTATTTTACTGGCCTGACTGTATTCTTGACCTTTTTTCCTTCTTGTCTTCTGCAAATGCAAATGATGCATGAATTGAAATCCCCTTAAGCCTGAACAGGGGAGGTAATTCTAAAATCGAGGAAGGAATTGAAACAGCAGAGCATATCTAGAACGTCTGATACAATGCCTTTTTTATTTTTCAGTCAGTTTGCTCCCAGGAAAACCTTTTTGTGGAAAACAGGTAAAAAAATAGCTTTTTTTTTTTTTTGGTGTTAAACATAGCTGTTTATCTCTCTCATTATTTTGTCTATCTAAAGTTCTATAGTTGTTTATCGTAATGTGAAGGCTGTTGAGCAAATTTGTAATCCATATTACCTGCGGTGTTTTTCTGCTTTAAGAGAGGGGAAAAGTGATTGCCTTGCAGTATTGTATCTGAGCAGATAAGGTGTTACTGCTGCTTTCCCAAGACTTGGCATTTCAGTTTAAAAAGCAGACTGGGGTGCGAGGGGGAACCCACCTAATGTTTCATTTCCAATGTTCAACCTGTCTCTGGGAGTGCCATTAGAATTTAATTTATTGATTTTTTTAAAAGCACTCCAGCAGTGGCTGGGTGATGATATATATGAAACACCACACTTGTGTTTCTGTTGTTTAACCCCCTGTGCTGTGGGGCTGAGCGGCAGCACTGACTTCACTTGTCGCTTGTTGAAGGCTCACAAGTCCCCCCAGACCAGACCTGCTTTACTGCTGCACTGTAGCAATGAAATGGTGATATCTGAGACAACTGTTACGTTGCATTACTCTGTGTTAGTTCTTATGGATGTTTGTTTTATTGTCATAAATCCGTTTAAAGCAAAGGGAAGAAGAAATTGTGCTTAACTGAGATCTACAAAATACAAAGCGTTAGCTCTGTAGCAGCCATAAATTATCTCAACTGTGCTGAAGATCTTAGAAATTGTGCACCTTTATGGTAAATAAGGAATTTAACCAAAACGCTGAGAATTTCACTGGTGAGTGTTGGAGCAGTGCTAGCCCAAGTCTGTCCTGTGCAGGTTTTAAAACTGTTTCTCCTCCCCTTGAAGAAGGGAAGGTTATCTTTCACAATATTTCTATCTCTGTCCATCTTTACATGTGTCAGATGCATTTATGGGTAAATGTCCCATAGACAGTGACTCCACAGTAATGGGACAAACCAGCTTTTCCAATGGGCAGTCCTGAAATAAGAATGAGGGAAGGCCCTCAGGAGGTAACGGGCATGGCCTCCTAACCAGCTTGTATTCTGAGAGCCAAGGATATTTCCTCAGCCACTTCTTCTTTATCATGACTATGGAGATATGTTTTACCAAAATTGCTAAAAAATGTAACAGGGAAATCCAAAAAGCAAAAAGAAGATGTTCCCGTAAGCCTACTTTTCCCTCTCTGGAGAGAGTGGGACAATAAACATGATGTTGTTGTTCATATTCCCAAGTCAAGGTGGAAAGCACTGCTGAGGCTGGAGTGGGGACCTTTATGGGATAAACCCTGAACTTCATAGCCAGACCTCCGTTGGTTTGTGCATTCAGTCCCACACCTGCATGCAGAAGAATGTGGCCAGTTCTGGCATTAGCATTTGGTTCACTTTGCTTAAACCTGTGAGCTGGCTGACCAGTTTTCCCATTGTGAGGATGCATACCCAAGTGGAGACCAGTAAAAGACCAGGTTGGAAATTGGGCTTCTGTTACTGCCTTCTCTGTTGTTGTCAGGAGGAAGGCTGCAGCTGTGTTCCTCAGAATGCTGTTTTTCCTTGCTGCATGCCTTACTGCCTTTGATCAGGTGGAGCACTTCAATCCGTGCTCAGCTCCATGCACATGAGCAACCTTGTTGATTGCTATGTTGAAAGTCAGGTATGTGTTTAAGTGCTTTGCCTTTCTTTTTCATCAGAGAAAGCTGAGCATTTATTTCTCTGAGCTGCAGAGATTTCCAAGTGACTTAGCAAGTGCTTAAAATTATATATGCTGTATTTTACTGGCTTGTATTTTTTATGTTCTTATTATGTGATATTTTTATGAATTTTCTTTTGGATGTAGATGTATGGTTCCTTGGCTTCTGAGAATTACCTTGCTCGCTAACAGGAAATGTTCAATGGCCTTCAGCCTCCTTGGCTGATATTTCTTATGTTCAGTTGACTGTGCACAGTTATGGGAGAGGGGAAAATTTTTAGCCTTGAGTTTTTTAAACTATGAATCTAATACAAGTTGGAAGATGTTGCTAGAAATTAAGTATAGCTTTATAAATACGATAAATTTGAATTACCATGTCTGTTACCATAATCTTTCTTTTCATTTTTCAGTAGGCTATTGGAAGACAGTAGCATATGCAATGAAACCCATAAGAAAAGACAGCTGTTTAGGTTTGTATGACTTTATTTAATCTTCATTTCCCAATAACTTTTGTTTGTGATTCCATCCATGTCCTCGCTGAGGGAGACCTTGGTGAGTGTGGGTACGTCGTTTTTTCTGGTTGGAAAGAAGCATGGAGAACAGAGCTCGTTCCATGCTCTCTGAATGGGGAGGTCACAATGGTACCCTTTCCTTTGGTTTCGGGGATCATTGGCTCAGGAACCATATCACATTTTCAGCTGCCCAGTTGCTCGGACTGCCACAATTTGGGGGTGACTCTGACTGATGGAAGTTTATTATGCTCTAGTGTGTACCACAGACACATTTCACAGACTAGTGCCCAGACTGACCTTTTTTCCTTTTGTTGGTTTATTAAAAGCTGAAGTAAAAGTACAATCAGTACAAACTGATTGAAGTTCCTTATCTAAAGTGGCAATGTTTTGAAACTTTTTCTCTGTGACCTTTATCTTTTAAACTTCAATTCCTTATGCCCAGACAACATTCAGATGTATCCCATATCCAAAATCACATCCCAAGGCACAGGGAATCAGTAGGAGTCAGTCCATATTTTCATGGTGACACAATAGATAAGTGGAAAACCCAACCTGGTAGTGACAACGTTCTTCTGAGCAACTTAAGAAGGCTCTCTTCCCACACTCCCAGGTTCAGTTCTAATCGACCAGAGTTGAGCATGGCAAACTGCTGCAAGCTAAGCAGAGTGGACAGGAGTAATGGAGGCTTTCAAGAGCACGTCCTTCATGCAGTAAAGCATGTGGGTAGCTAGGCAGAAGAAGGGTGATCACTATGTGTGTCTGTGTGCGTTGAGGTTTGCATACAGAACAGAGATAGTTTCTCTTCAAATCTGTATCATCTATGCTACATAAGTTTTCACTATGAACATCTGAAGCTGTGCCCCATGGCCACAGGAAGCATGCAGAAAAACTTTCTGTCGTGCTTTGGGCTAACCTTGATGATCTGAGAATCATTTGGCATGTAGGAGTAAGGAGGCATCTAAAATATCTATGCAGCAATTTTTAATAACTAATATCTGTTCAGGTTTGGGGAACAAAAAGGGATTTAGTGTAACCCAAAATCACAGATAACTGGGATAAAAAAGCATTCTGTTTCTCTCTCTTTTCCACTAGAATATAAGAGAACTGCTAATTTCTAACCACAAGAATGCAAAAGAGTCTGTAAATAATATACTTTTATTTTTCTCTTCCCAATTAAATCTTAAGGAAAATGTATTTTAAAATCTTTTTCCTTTTTTTTTTAATGTTTTGCTTCTGTGCTGTTTCTCTCCATGCTTTCCCAGTGTCTGGGTCTGGCAAAGATCAACAGGTTCATACTGCTGATCACATCTGTGTAAAGTTCTGATCACAGGCAAGGAACGCACCAGCATGATCCCACCTTTGACACTCTGCTCTTTCACGTCCTGAGTGACACAGCTCAGCAGGTTCTCCAAGTAAAAAGCAGAAGCCACATTCACAAGGAGAAAGGGGACCAAAAAAAAAAAAAAGAAAATAGATACAGTCCCATCCTTTTGATTTGTAGAAAGAGCTTTGAGCCTGCGAGGTATTATATTGTAAAATTAGACAGAGGGGTGGCAAATGTCTTCTAAAAGCCTTCCAAAAAGCCAGTGTTATTAACATGGCTTGGGATAATGGTCATGGTGCACCCAGCTGTGGTAGGCATGCTGGTTTTGTCATTTTAGCAGCACATGGTAAGCTGTTCACCATAAAGAAGCCAAATTCTCCTCTAGTTTCTGCTCAGTTAACTGTGGTGTCTCTCAGTGTACACTAGGGACTCTGCAGATGTTCAAGGACAGACAGACTCTACTCAGAGATGTTTGCAATTAGCGTATGCAGAGGGATTAAAAAAATCAACTGATGGGTTTCTTAAGCACAGTATTAGCATTGAGGGGTTTGGGGTCATGCTGGGAGGACACATGTTTAGGGGAAAGCTTTGGGTGATTTTGCAGAGCAGATGAGTGAGGACAAGGTGCAATAGAAATAATGAGGATGGATATGAAGACAAAAGTATAACGTGAAGGCAGTGAGAAAAGCCTTACAGGTGACAGACAGCAAAGGGAGAAGTAGCGAGGGGTTTGCAGTCAACAGGCAACAGAAATACTACGTCCATGCGACGTAATATTGCTGCGTCAGTCACGTCTGGTGAAGTGCTCTTAGGGTATATGGGAAAGGGGAGCAGTAGTAAGCACTGTGCATGTAAAATGTATAGCAACATTTACTCGCTGAAGGCAGATGAGTATTGGGGTCAAATCCCCTCCTTCAGGCATGCTTTCGTAAATGCAGAGTAATTCCTTTTCCTTTGTTAGACGTGCTGCCTGGTGACCAAAGATAGACTCTGCCTTGATGTGTCTTTGTTCATGTTTAAATCTTTGTCTCCTGATGTCCATAGGGGTAACAGAGACAGCACAGGGAAGGCATCTGGCAGTCGGCAGAGCAGTACGGAGAATGAAATGAAGTGGACAGACCACCAGAGACCATGGAGCAGCACAGACTCGGACAGCTCAAATCGAAATTTGAAGCCAGCCATAACAAAGACAGCCAGTTTTGGTGGGATAACAGTCCTGACAAGAGGAGATAGCTCATCAAGTAACAGAAGTACCGGCAAACTGTCTAAAACAGGTAGCTAGTACTGTATTGGGTTCACAGTACTTCTTGTGCAGTGATAAAGGGCTGTACTGGTACTTGTCCAAGTATGGTATATCACAGAATGGTTTGGGTTGGATGGGACCTTCAGAGATCATCTAGTTCAACCCCAATGGTTGGACTATATGGTGAATTACAGGAACAGTTGTATTTCCTGTGCATAGCAGATGTGTATGTCCATCTATGTACACTACTATCTGGGTACCTGGTATTGAGGTTTTTAGGAATCAAGAAGAAAACTTCGTACCTGAGGTTTGCAAATTGTAGGTGAGGTAGGCTTTTTCTGGAGTAAAGTATGTGCACGTCCTATTTGAACAGTCTCTGCAATTGTTGTAGCCTGAAAAGATGATAGTCTTCTCAGACAAAACACAGATTTTACTTCTTTATTAGTCTTACTCTTTTTGAATCGTGAAGAATTAAATGTCATATATCTGATGAGAAATCCAAGAACACTTTGTTGTTGTTGAAATACAGACCATCTGTATCTTGAAGCACAGCCTCTCCCTAGCTGCTGGCAGATGAGGCAGTGTGCTGTGGTAGGAGCAAGTCAGAAGCACTGGATTCACAGAGGTCCTGCAGTCTCTCCATTTTCTTCTTTAGTTCCCATTAAATGAAGGCATCATTTAAGGGGACTACGAACCTGGTGGGAATTTTGCACTTATTTGCATTAACTGCACAGGTACATTGACATATCAGTAAGTCACGGAGTCTGGATCTAAGTAATTTCAAGCCATGCCATTAAGCTACTCTTATTATATTTTTATGTAAAAGTGCATAATAAATAATGAGCCCATCAGATGATTCCATCAGTTTGGTTCATTTGATAAATATAGTACAGGACAAGTGGTAATCAATACTTAGCACTTAGTGCTCTTCCAGCTTGAGAGTGTTTTATGAATGGTATTTAATTTAAACCCAGTTTATCAAACCTAAGTTGGTCTGATTTCACTTCTGTTCCCAAAATTGTACGACAGCCTTTGCTGTGATTCAAGATGCTGGGGAATGGAGTTTTCAGAATAAATTGATAAAAGCTTTGACTTGGTAACTACATTCCGGACCTCCAGATCTTGAACATAGTTTAAAATTTGGTTATATTTCATAGCTGTAAAGGAACCTGCCTGGTTGGAAAGCCATTCTTTCAAACCTTACTGGTCATAAAGCTGCTGGGAGCTTTTGGAATATCCTCCCTCTTCTTCTTAATGCTTCTATTTTATGTTTCTTTTGAGACCCTGGACAAATACTGGGTTTATTACCTTAAGATTCCTAGAATCATAGAATACCTCAAGTTGGAAGGGACCCATAAGGATCCCTTCCCAAGATCAGATTCTCCCTCAGTTTTACTCCATCCTCATGTATGTGTAATCCTATGGAATTAAGACATGAGTTTGACTTTGAAAACTAGTATGTATAGTTGTTTACCTCTGGCTCGTTCCTGAGCGTGAGCCTATCAACAAAGCAAAACGAGTGCGTATGTTCTTTTGAAACTACACTCTGCTGTATTTTTTATTTGTATAAAGTCTGAATAGGCTGTACAGTGGGGCCTGAAGCATACAGTACACCATGTTTTTACCTCCAGTTTTCTTTGCCTCCTGCAAATTTTTCCATTGCATCAGAATTGAATTTGATATGCGTAAATTGAGGAGGAGGCACAGGTTCCTGGTATTCTTTTTTTCATGTCGTTCACTTTTCGTAGAGTACAGATAAATGTATATCTCCGCATCATTGTATTGCAGAGGTGCAGAGCATTTAAAATGATGTCAGGGAAATCCAGTTTGGAGGGTTGAGACATCTAATTGCAAAAGAGTAACACTTTTAATTAGCCCTTTTGGTGTTAAAGTCAAGCATATTAAAGGGTGCACCTAGAAAATGTATTAAAGGAGGGATCTCTGAAGCATGCCAATACTTGGAAATACATCTGCACTCTGTATGCACCAAACCCAGAATTGCTTTCAGATGAAAGCTCTTATAGTACATTTTTTAAAACATCAGTGATACTAAAAATCCATGTTCTTTGCAGAGCAATTACATATTGTAAGTGCTTTGACTTTTTTTTTAGCAAAGTGTTTAAATTTGAAAGGTAGTTGAGGCACAGGAAGAGTAAAAATGAAAAAATAAAAGGGAGAGGTGGAGAAAAAGAGCGAGGCTGGATGTCAAAACATACTTACACCTTAAAAGCCAGGACACAAAGTCAAACTGTCAGTCAGCCTGAGGAAAGTCAGAGGAAACAATACCTGAATCTCTCTTTCTATCCTTCTCTCTGAAATGTTATTGAATGGCATTAATGCAGAAAAGAATGACTGTTCAAAAAATAATGGGGAAATTTGCCTTGATAAAGTGTTTGCACTTCACCAAAAAATGCTGAGTGCATTCGTACAGCTGTCGGAGCCCCCACGTGCTATTTGCATGTGTTTTCTAAGGGACATTAGGTACCAAGCAACACATCATTGCCCATTTTTGCATTAGATCTTCATTATTCCATTCCTATGACTCCAGTCATAGGCAGTGCTGGACATTCCATAGCTCCGTAGACATTTAAAGCTTGATCGTGTTTTTATTTGGAGGGATTGTGTTTATTTTCTTTTGTCTTTACAACAGCAATTGAAATGAGATTGCAAGACGTATAGCTACGAAAGTTAGGCACGCTGTCCTGGTAGTGTGTCAGGGCATGGGAGGGATCAATTCTGTCCCAGTTCTCCTCTACAGAAAGTCCTAATCTGTTCTCTGAAGTCCTTTATGATCCACAATAATAAACTTAAGGCATTTTGGTCCTGCATATGGTATATATGTAATGAGTTTGAAGTCAGCAGTAGGTCAAAAATCTTCTTCGTTGGCTAAATGATGGAAAATGTTTGTGACCATTTTAAATGTGAAAATTGTCCTACAAATGTGACATTCATCCAGAAGCAGTGCCAAACACGTTTCTTGAGTGTGGAAATACTAAGACTTCAAGAATTTTTTTCACTGATGGCTCACAGCTGCATTTGAGAGTGTATGTATAGTGATGCAGTAGTAGCACTGTAGCCTTACTGCATCATTTTTAGCATTGTCACTAAAATTAAATGTTCTGCTCTTTAAATTCTGATAAATCAGTAATTAATGGTACATAGCAGAAAAATAGAAACTGAAGCACAGAAAGATGTTAGCCTCCCCTTAGGCAAAGATAGATCCTAGAATGTGCTGTTCTCTGCAGTAGATTCCAGTAGTGTCAATTAGTCTTAGACTTTAATTGCATTCAGCTGCACAGGAATAAGAGCTTAGTAAAGGAATTATGTTACTTCATTCTTGCAAACTTTACAAAAGGGGCTGTTTGGAACCCATTACATGGTTATCTTACTGTTTCTAATGGTTATTTTCACGCACCTGTTGATTGTTTAGAAAGCCCTGTTCCACTAGAAAGCATAGCTTGTATAATGCAAATAAAATTTTCTGCTCTGTTCTTCTGAAGCTTAGTAGATATATGGAGATATATTATGTTGTAACTCAGTGTTGAGTGCAGAGTTAATAACTGGACAAATTGCAATCAGATTGCATTCCTACAACTTAGAACAGCGTACAAAACCTTGGTTAGTTTAGATTTCCAGTAATATAGTGGACTTTCTAGGATTGACTAAGCCTGTAGAGTGTTGTGATAGTTTCACTGGGCTAGCCCTTGGCCAGCAGCCAACACAGCCATTCACCCACTTCCCCTCCGCCCCCAGGGGATGGGGAGAGGACTGGGGGCAAGGATTAGGAGGCTTGTAGAGTGAGATAAGAACAGTTTAATAATAGAAATAAAGAAAAACTTAAAAAAACTCCTAATATTAAAATAGTAGTGATAATGATAACAGTAATAAAATATACAAATGAGTGATACCCAGTGCCATTGCTCACCACCCACCAACTAAGCCTGGCCTGTTCCCAGATAACGATCTGGGAGGAGCGACAATCCCGAACTGAAACCACAATCCCAGGAGAGAGAGAGCCCGAGTGAAAACCAACAGGAATCCCCCTCCTTTCCAGTCAGCCCCAGTTAATATACTGACATGATGTGATATGATCTGGAATATTTAATTGGCACATCCAAATGCCAGTTCTGGGGTTTTCTATTCACTACACTTCTCCCTCCCAGTCCTAATGCAGCTGTGAACCAGCCAAACACGGTGGCCTTGAGCTCCAGCAGCAACTGATAACACCAGTACTTTTATCAACATTCCTCTCATAACAAGTCTGAACTGAAACCAAAACACAGCTATTCTAACTACTGAGAAGAAAATTAACTCTATCCTAGCAAAAATGAGGACAAGTGGTAAGTGAAATAGATGTCTCTGTAGCATCAAAGATGTACCTGTTCGGCATCTAATACACTAATGAAGAGAAAATCTAGGTTAGCAACTACCACATTGTTTTCACTGACACACTACAACAGGTTTTAATATACATTATTAGGAGAGAAAACAAGATGTGTTTCGAAGACATCTTCTATGTATCTACATATCTATTTAAATAATTGTTGGAAGCCTTAAAAGATCAAGCTGTTGCATTTCACTTCTGTTAATGCATTTTCCATTCAGTGGAATGCACATCTGTTGGAGTGTATTTCTTACCCTCCCATTTACGAAAAGCCAGCTGCGTTGGGGTATCAGCTGTGTCGATACAGATCTGTAGGGATCCTAAACTTCCTTGGCGGGGCTCCAAGTAATTGGAACCACAATCTAATCTCTCCTGTTAGGTGTTCATTGCCGCTGCTGTTGGGAAAAGACGGTCATACTGCAGGCATTTCAATCCATTAACTTTTTTTTTTTTTAATATAAAATATTCTGTAAATTATAATTTCATCTCAGACATTTCTGCTTCTTTATGATTTCCTTTAATCAGGCATTAGCCTGATGGATCTTATGAGACTAAGGGAAACTGTAGGAATGTTGATGTATGGGCAATAAATCATGAGCCAACTGCTCCCAGTCATACTCTTCCCACCAACCAACTGTGCTGAAACATCAATCTTATTTTTAGAGGTGCAGCTTGCAGAGGAATAATTGTATTCACATGAGCATGCACCATTTTTATAAACAAAAACTAAATACATTGAAATATACAGAAATGAAAGTAACTTATAAAAGTAGCAAATAAATATTCCTAAGCCAAGAAACTTTATCCAAGACAAAAATACTTCCAAAGGTGATCAGCACTGTACTGCTACTAAAAAACTGAGCATCTGGAGCAAGTAGTAGATAGATCTTGAGAGTCCAGTTCATAAGAAAGAAAAAAATTTACCTCATAGTTGGAAGATGGGATGAACAGAGATGTTCAGTCATCAGGTACTGAATGCTGACCCAAAGGAAATAGAGCGAGACATGTTGCATCACTCACTGGTGCTCAGGATATTGGAAAATTAATGGGACCTCCACGCTGTCCTTCTGCAAACCCCCTCAATGATTAAGACCTTGTGGTGATTATTCTGACTCTTTTTTTTCTTTTACCACTCTTTGAACTGCTGTGTCTCTCAGAATACTTTAAAAACATATTAATGGAAAATGATGAGAATATGAAGGTTATCATTATGTCAACTGTGAAGCAGCAAGAAAATTATAGAAGAATCTAGAAGAAATAGCCATCATTACCTACTGAAAAGAAGAGGTTGGGTTGTGTAATGGGGGCAAAAATCCCATTTAGTCAAAGTTCCTCTCAGAAGTCTTTAGCAAGACATCTCTTAATGTGAATCTGAATAAAGGCAGATAGTTCTTTTTTTTTCTTTTTTCTTTTTTTCCATTTGGTACAGTACTGAATTAATTATGTGGTGATTTCTTATTCCAGATTTAGACACCGTGAAAACATCTAGTCAGAGCTACAAAGACAAGATTAATTGGTGTTAATTTCCAAACATTAGTATTGGAATTTACTTGGCTTAATACATCTAGACTTAAAATGATAGGAAATAAGTTGTAGTGATGGGGGAAAAAAATTAAAATATATAATATTTATACAGGATAAATGGGGGTAAAATTGGTTAAGCAGTAACTTCTGGGATTATTATTTTTTTTTTTAGTATTCAGAAAATTGCTGAAATGGTTGTGTCTTATTAGTGTTCTTTCAAAATTACCAACTTGATCTACTGACATAGGAGAGCAGATCTCTGATCTTTTAAGTCAGACGTTGCAAAGCTGTCATCTTGGCCAGTGTGTGGTGATAGCTCCAGAGGTTGTTCCACTGCTTCTCCCTACCATCTGATGAGTACATCTGAATTCATTGCAGTCCTTTGGCTTTTAACGTTCAGAAGCTGGTAAAGATCAGTCCGTGATTCTGCCATAAAAATAGCTGAAAGGGGGAAAAGTAAAAAGCAATTGAATGTCAGAGCTGCAGCCTTCTCTTATGCTAACAGTATTTCTTCGGAGTAGCACAAAATGGGGCGAGAGAGGTCTGAACTCAAGCTTGGTGCTACTAACAGGCTTAGAAATAATACTGGGAGGTTTATGAAATCTAATCATGCCTTCTGTTGAACCCATTGAACTCAATAGGTGATGGAAAAGAGGAGAAAGTAAAGCAAGATCTTAAAGAAGAAACACAAAGTGCATGTAGGAGCAGAGAAATGCAAGAAAGGAGCTGGTAACTGCTGTAGAAAGAAAATGAAAGTCATGCAGTTGCATTTACATTTGGGAGGAAGATGGAAATACTGCTTGCAGCTTGATGAGGATGACCTCCAGGAATATCTCTGCAATTTGCAGAAACACTGAAGTCTGAAATGATCCAATAAATAAAACTCCTGGCAGGAATAATCTTTCGAAATGCCCAACCTCTGTCTACAAGGAGGGGGAAAAATACAACAACTAATACAACTTTGAAGTGTATTTATATATATTTTTTTATTTATTTATTTATTTTTTTTTTTCCCCCCTCTGAAGTCTCTATTACTTTCTTGATTAGATATACTGGAGAAGCAGATTTAGGGTCATGCTGATGGGAAATTCTGCATAGTTCATAAAGAGGACTGTCTGTAGTAGTTGCTGTATGGATATGAAGTTTGAAGAAGGTGGATAAAAATGGGTTTTACCCAGCAATCTGCAGTTATCTGTGGGAAGTCCTTCTGTTTGTTAAGTAGCAGGATGCTGGTGTGATTTCTTCAGAGGAAACTTGTTTTGCTCTAATTGTGAGGAAATAAATGAATTCCAATATGGATTTGGCTAAAAATGAATCCAAGGCTCTAAGCAGTCTCCTGCAGAGTCCTTCTGTACTATCCCAATTACAAAGGGATGTAATTTGCTGTCTAAGAAAGGTTTTAGCAAAATTCTAAGTCTGAGTTCTGTCTTTTCTCTTAGTGTACACCTGCAGGAGGGCACTATGGAGGTTAGTAATTAATGTAAGATGCATAGACAGTGCACAGAAGTAAAATAAAAGAAGTTGAAATTAAAATATACTTTACTTTTGGAAGGAAGTGTCCATACCAACTTTTGCTTTCACACCTCTCTTATATTTGGCTTAACATCCTGCTTTAAGGAAGCCGTTCATCTGAGCCTTGAGCTCTCGGAGATTCTTGTCATTTTTCTGTGAAGCAAATTCAAATCTAATCAAGTAAAATCTCTGAAGTTTGGAAATTATATTCGGTCTTTAAAATAACGTGTCTCCCCATCCTTCCAGGCACAAGTGTGTTTTAGCACACTTGATTTGTCTTGATTGATCAGTTTTTATAAGCTAGGTGCTGAAAAATCAAGGTGACAAAAATGTTAGGTAGTTTTCAGTTAATCCACACATGGTGCAGCTACCTTAATACTTGACTGACAACTCAGTTGCTGGGTTGTTTTTGTTCTTACAGAAAACGTTTGGTGTGATTTTGTGTTCTTTTTTTTTTTTTTCTTTTTCATTTACAAACCCAGTGTTTAGTTTTTATACCTTATGAACCAGTGCTTTGGCATTATAAATACATGCCGAGCATTTTGTGTTCTGTTCGAGAAAGCTATCGGCTGACTCGGGGGGGAAGCAGATGTTGCGGGAGGAAAGTAGTCTTCTGGATTGTAGAAATACCACTGGATACTGAGCTCAGTAGGGAGTGAAAGCCCCATTCCTCCTAGCTGGGCATGGACTCTAGTGCTTGCCTTTTCAGTCTGTGAAGACTGACCTCGCATACGTGCTGTGTCTGATGGGAACTGGGGTCCCTTGTAACCCCCCTGCTGTGGTTGTTGTCTCTCCATTAGGCTCAGAGTCTTCCAGCAGCGCTGGCTCCTCAGGATCACTGTCACGACTACATCAGCCTCTCCAAAGTGCATCTCTTGTCCCTGGGGTGGCGGCCAACTCTTCAGGCAACGTGTCCTACCCTGAGAATGGGATGAGTGGCCAGGTGGCCCCCAGCAACACCAGCTACATCATTCTTCCACTTGAAGCTGCAGGGATACCGCCTGGCAGTATCCTTCTCAACCCGCACACAGGTCAGTACGATGCTTGGTACATCCGTCCTGCCTGGTACTGCCCTTCAGTGTTCCTGATGTCATCTGGGGAATTGGCAAATTTCATGTTTCTAGAGCTATTTCCCTTGAGACACTTTATGAGGAAGCAAGCAGCAAATACACATAGAAATGACATTTGGCAGGTTGTTTTTTGGAATCTACAGGCAAAGCTGGATTGGCTTTTTGAAGCTGTTGTGGCATAGCTAGTGGGAAGTGATGCAAAGCACACTCGTGTGGTCCCAGACAGGGTATTAATCTTGTAAAGTCCTGGCACTCCCTGGCTGTGAATCCTCTGAGATCCCATTAGCTTCAGTAAGGACAGACACTTCCATATCAAGCATGCTGAGATAGGGTGCAGCTGAAAATACCATGCTCAAAGTTTTAGAGATTGTGCTTAACAGCAGAAGAATTTCAAAAAGCTTAGAGGCTGCATTTGAATTAGCACTTCAGACTTAATTTCCTTATGTGATTAGCAATTGTATTTAACTCGGAAGTTTAGTGATAAGAGAAAGTCGTAATCTCTTCAATTCTGCAGGGTGGCCCTGCGGTGCTTGAAGGAGGCATTCTCACCCAAGCACTGTGAACACTTCAGAAAGCACTCAGCTTGAACTTGAGTGCCTGCTGAATGTTTAAGGCCATTTGTTACCTTCTTGATCCAGATGAAGCCCACATAATATTACGCTGTTACTCCCCACAGTATTGTACTGACAGCATTAAAAAGGTTCAGGGAGGTTGAAAGTGTGATGCTTCTTCAGTGATGTGGACTATTTCAGCGACCATGACTAGCTGTGTTGTCAATCTTAGCTGAATTATGCTGGGTTTAAAATAACGAAGCCTACAGTGCAATGTATTTTCCATTATACTGAGAGTTGAACTCCAAAATATTTTTTCAAAGTCCTTAATAGAGCATTCAGGAGCTTTTTATTTGGGGATTTTAATTTATAACCAGTTTATTATATTACACCCCCGTGTTCCAATATTTTGGTGCAAATGTGTAAAGCTTATTTGTGAGTCCACTGCTACAAATATTTTTTTTTTATTCAGAATGGAGTCAAGAAAAACTGAAAGTTGCAGCATTTAAGAAAAAAACACAGCGTTGACAAACTATTAAACCAAACTTTCTGCAAACATTAGAAGTAGTAGTATCTGGGGCTGATCAATATACATCGGCTTATATAAAATCAGGGAGGAGTTCTTGTTTAGATTCAAATGTGGTAAATACTTTCCCAAATCATTTTTCTGGGAAGTACACATTTGTACAAGTTGTTAAAGCCTTTACTATTTATGTGTACTTTTTTTCAAGCTATTAGGTTATTGGCATGAGAGCCTAATACTGTCAGCACAAATAGGAATTTTAGTCATTTCTTAAAATGACTTAGAGGAGAGGACAGGATGGGAGCTGGGCGTGAGACAAAAAACCTGTCATTATTAATTTACTCATTTCTGTTGTTCTAGTAGTTGACAGTGCTGTCTTTAACACTGGAATTTCTTGATCAATACAGAAGGCACTTTGTGTCCTGTGTGGTCCACTCCTATACAAAACTCAGCAGGCTTAGGCTGAAGTCCATCCATAATTTGGGTGATAGGACTGAGAGAAACAACTGAAAGGAATCACTGCTGCTTGGAGCCCAGCAACAGCTGAGAGGTTGATCTCATTCATGGCCATGGCAAGGACAGAGGCTGCAGCTTACCACACTTGCAAGCCAGAAGGGCTGTCTGAGAGGAACATCTCCTACGTCTGTTTTGTCAGTTTAGCAATTTGCAGCAGTTAGCTCATATTTTTCCCCGGTACCTAGGCAGTCTTTGTCTGCCATAGGTGTAGTGCCTTTCAATACTCTCACTAGACCAGAGTACCTGGCCTTCCCTCCTAGTGTGCCTCATTGTCTGCAGAGGCCAAATCAAAAGCTCTGTGTGTTAGTATTTTATTTATATAGATATAGTTATATATAGTTAGTTTAATATTCAGGAAGGTACATATGATTTTGTGTTTCTTTCAAACCGCACGTTGTGTTTCTCTAGCTCCCTTGTAAATATATAATAAAGAAAATGAAGGGAGCAGATTCTTCTGAAGACTGATATTCTTCTCTCAGACGTATAGCTTCATGCTGCTACCTGTGCTGGTAGTCAGGCTATACTTTAGCCTCTACTGTGTTTTTAACATGCAGCAAAATACATGCTGCAAATTTGCTACTCTTTGGGCTCAGAGTCTTTGCATCTTATTAGGGTGATGTTACAAAAGAAGCTCCGTAGGGATTAGAATTAGATTGCTGGATGCTGTGATCAGCTATCAAAGTGATGGATGCTGTCAGAAACATAGATGAAGAGAAGACAGTTTAAAGAAAAGGAAAGA